GAGCACATCAAACAGCCACCTTTTCATCGAACTGCTCATTCTCTATGAAGGCTGTACCAGTAATGAACAGCTTTTCAGTTGTGGAACTGACCCACTGCAGGACCTGCCCTATGAATGTGGGTGTTATTATGCCCAATGGAAGCAGAGCCCTGCAAGAGAAAACCACTAGTTCTGGGACTGGCTGGGCACTGCCAACACTCAGTTGCTTTGAGGTGGCAGCTCTCATCTCTTGGAGAACAAGCTCCATGTCTCCAGCCCCACATAACCTGCAGGTTCAGCACGGAAAGTTCCCCCTCCACCACTCATCCCACTGCCTAGAGCACAGATACAGTGCAGCCTGCCTCTCTTACCTGGCCAACTGGCACACCCCCTCATGGTGTGTCTGAGGGCTCTCAAGGAGTGGCCAAGTTCCCTCTTCGCAGCCACTCTCTCCCCAAGGCCCTTAGATATGGCACAGGCCAGGGTCCCCATAGAAAGCCTGGGGAGAGAGAAGGCCCAGATTTACAGACTGTAATGAGATGCTGTGGTCAGAGCAGAACCAAAACTCCCTGTCACTTGGGAGGTCCATTACTCAGACACTTGCTGCGCAAGGCAGGCAGCTCAGATCAGACCAATGTTGCCATTCTCTCTCATGCCTTGCAATCCCCTGACAGGGACAGGGAGGGCAGGGCCTTGCACGAATCAGTGCTGGAAGCCGGATGGGATTCATGGATTCTCTCCCAAGCCAAATGTACTATGGAAAGAATTGGGCAGCCATTTTTTTCTCCCTACAAGGACAAAGGCCACATGTAGAGCATTGGAACATGCAGAAGTCACATGCCCAGGTCTCAAGCACTGGGAACCCAGCATGTGCTAGCCACTAATGGAGATTGTGAGGCCCCTGAGCTGAAACTGCCTGACCTGTCCCAGAGGAGCTCAGATCGGAGGAGCAAATAGGTCCTCCCAGCCTTAACATTTCAAACTATACCCTTCTCAGACAACGCCCACTTCTTTCAGCTGCCAGGACCAAGACAGCTCAGCACAGCCCTTGGCAAGGACAAGAACACCCTGCAGGCAGCTAGCCTGAAGTGAAGCCAAACCTGTGAAAGTAGGTGCAGCCTACTCCTTACCTGCAAGGGTTGCCCACTGCTTGCAGCTGCCTCTACTGGATGCTCCCTGTGGCAAGTGGCATGTTCTGCCCCACAGTGCGGCCAACTTGCTTCAGAAAAGCACAGAGGATCTCTGGGACCAGCTCCCTCAGCACTGGGCTGGGGCTGGAGTGAATGGTAGTGAACATCTCCAAAGATGCACATGTTGCCTGAAAAAATAGAGAAGACCAGAGTCAGCCTGAGGAAGATACCTGGAAATCCATAACTCCAAGCCTAAAGGTCTCTTCCTCACATCCAGGAGAGCACAGAACAGCTCTGGCAGCAGCTCCCTTAGCACTTGGCTCCCTTCCCAGTCACATCCCTTCCCTCCCAGTCACATCCCTTCCCAGTCGCATCTCTACACTTCTGCCTGGGAAGTGCAGGGGCACCAGCAGCCTGAATGGAGACCTGCACTGCAGAAGGAGCCTCTCGGTTACAGGAGTTTCTAGTTCCAAAGTCTCTTGGAGTCAGTCAGCCATGTAGCACGAGGCTGCTGTGTTTCTGCTGCTCATGGAGGAGTGGGGGTGACCCGGGGGACAGAAGAGCAGGGGAGAAATGTTTGCCCCACTGCCGGGCATCCTACCTCAAGCTCTCAAAAACCAGGATTCTAGCACCCAAGGGGGAACCGACAGAGCTGGGCCTGGGCTGTTACTTACTGCTAGAGGTCTGAGGGCCACCATGTCCTCAGCTGAGTTCCTGTCTGTTCTGGCTGGATGTTGAATCCTGCTCATGAGCAAGCATAGTATGTGGAGGGTGAAGAAATCATCCCCACCCAAGGCCCTCCAGAGCTCAGAAGTGTCACTGCAATTTAACACAAATTACATATGAGCTGTGGATACTCCTGTGATGTCATGAAGAAATAGGGCATTGAAGCAAAGGCCAAGGGCTCTCCTGGTCTAGGACAGGGTTGGGGCACAGTGATGTCATCTGCCAATGCTATTAGCACAAGCCTGGCATTTCCTGTGCAAATGCACTAGGACATTGACTCTTACCAACTCATCCCAAAGGATCTGCAGCTGACTTGAAACTCTATGGGCTTTGCTAGGCTACGGGATGTGCGTGTGCCACCAGGCACAAGAGGTAGGGAGTGGCAAGTACCTGTCCATTGGCAGAGGCTTTCTGAGGAGGCTGCTGGTCACTGCCTATAGATGGAAGCCAGCAAGAATGGAAACCCTTTCCAGCAGGAAGCCTCTCACAGACCTTTCCTGGATTGTTGGCATCTGGATAAAAATGGTGCCCAGGATGTCTGGTCCCTGGAGGGAAGTTAACAAGAACAAGGGCCCCTTTCTCATTCAGCCAGCACAATCCAAACCAATCCCTCCCACAGTTTGGCAATTTGCTGCCATCTTAGAATTTCCTTGCTTTAAGGGACCAATGTCCAGACACTGCTACCTCCGGCTGATCCTAAGAAGTGAGCACGTCCCTATGCCCCTACTTGGGGTGAAAGTGGACACCACAACATGTGTGCAGACACCAACCAGCCCATGCACCCTCAGCCATTCCCCCACCCATATGCACATACCTATACTCTAATTACACGTGCTGCCCGGGACCTATTTCTGCCTGACATTAACCCACGTGCTCGCACAAACACCCCAATAAATATCAATATCTGGGGGGTGGTTTTAAGAAGCTAATTTTGGCCTTTTGCCTGTGTGGACCACAGCTCAGGACCAACAAGCACCACCAACTTCAGAACCCCTGTGAGAATCCCTGGGACCACAAGCAAGATGACTGTAGCTGTAATTTTTCCAGGTGAGACCAGCTCTGCTGGAACTGCACACTGGAGTTCACACTCCTCATTTCTAACTACACCTCCCCATTCTGCACACAGCCAAGCTTGCCAGGCAGTAGGTCCAGCTGCCCATATCCAGTCTTATCCAGAACAGGGAGAGGGGGAAGGCTGCAGTATCTCTGGCATCCATTCTTTCCTGTGCCCTATTCCCAACCCCATGGAGAGGAGCAGGATAAAAGAAGCATTTCACATAGCTTCTACCAAGGCTGGGAAATGCCTGAGGACACAGAATCATCTCTAGCTCCTGCCTTGCCATGGACCCCCTGCATGCTGTGGCACTGAGGGAAGTGTGCATCCATTCCTCATGCCTAAGCATGGTGTCCCAGCCCAGCCACAGCCGAGTGCCTCAGACTTCTTGTTGCCCTCTCTTGCTGTATTTGCCCCAGAGTCTATGTTTCCAACCCTTCCAGGGTGGAAAGCTCTTATCAATAACCTAGGTCACTGAATCCCCATCTTGCCTTCCTGTGCTCTTTCTCTTGGATCTCTTCTCTTGAGGCAGTCATCAAGGATGTTTCTATTTTCATCCAGATTCAGTGAGGGTTTCACCTTGCTGGCAGAAGAAAGGGAGGAAGAAAAGCCCTCAGTCACACTGACTGCCAGCCACAAGGGAAAGTGGGTCTAGTGCTAAGATATGACCTGAACCTAGAACCCAAAATCCAAACCCCACTAGACTTGGCAGCTGAGAAGCTCCTTGCACTCCCCACCACTCCTAGTTGTCCCACAACCACCACCACCAAGTCTTTCAAATCCAAATCTCCAAGCGGATCAAATACATTCAAACCCTCTGACCCCAGCTGCAGGGAGAGCAGTCTGTGGCCTGAGCCCTGCAGGTGTCTCTTAGTTCCAGCTCTGACAGGAAGAACAACAGAGAGTTAAGGAAGGAGCTCATCTCTGACCTGGGCATCCCAGTGCCAAGGGCCAGGGCAGGAATCACCTATCTCAGGTGCCCAAAGGCAAGCATGGCCCTGAGGCGAACAGGAGAGGCCAAAGAATCTATTGGTTCTTCTTTCATGAAGTCCTAAAAGGCAGAAACAGAGACATGACACAGGGGAAATGGATGTGGAAAGCAGAGAGCCTCCCGCAAGAAATTCACCAAGATGCCCACCCAGGTGGGCTGTAAATAGAGCCAGGGCTGTGCTGGCCACTGCCCCAGGATCCTGCTCAGGTCAATGGCATCAATGCAGAGGAAACAGAGCTGTATCCCAGTTGCAGCTGGGCCCTCCAAGAGCAGCCCACAATGCAGCATCAACTAGAAAGCTTCAAGTGGTACCAGCTTTCTGGGCCCCAAGCAGACCCCTCATGAGGCTCCAATAATCCTATCACAGCCAAGGGACAAAACAGCCACTCCCAGGGAAACCAGTCCCATTATGTTCCCACCAGGTCCTTTGCAGTTTGGTCCCCAAGGCTCCTCCCCACTCACCAGCATGTACCCCAGGAGCTCCTCTTTGTAAGTGAACTGGAAGCTCTGGGAGTCGTCTGCATCCTGGATGGCACAGCTGATCTCAGTGACTGACCGGATCGGGGTCATCTTTAAGTCCGGGTCCTGAATTCCATGGGGGAACAACAAGGAGATGGAGATGAGGAACAGGAAAGAGCCAAGGTCCAGAATGTAAAGATCAGGGATGAAATGCAGCCTCATTTGCATCCCTGAGAGATGTCTACAAGCCCCAGAAAGCCCCAGGCCCACACCCATCTCAGACGAGGTGCATGGCGGTGGCAGGGACTCCTGCCTGGGGAAGTTCATTGTGCCTCCTGCAGTTAGGGAGGGTCTGGGAAAAGCATGAGCAGAAGTAGGGTCACTGAACATTTACCTTATTGACCATGTTGATGCCAAACACCTGGGAAATGAAATACAAAACAACCATCAGTGCCTGGAACAGCCCCACAGTACAGCCCACTGCCAGGTCCGAAAAACGGTCGGGCTGGTGAGCGTGGAGTAGCGCAAGGGCATGAATGTGTGCCCCCCTCCAGTGCAGGACAGGTTGTCAGGAGCATCTATCCCAGCACTCTCCATACGTGGGTCCCTCCCACTGCACATCATCCCAGAAGGATTAATGTGGATGCTCATCACAGGCATGAGTTCAGGGGGAGGTTCAGACAGTCAAAGCCTCTCTAGGCACCCAAGTGCAAAGGAGACATCAGTCCCATGGCAGGCCTGTTCCCAACATGGTGCAGTCCCAGTCTGTTATCTGGAAGCTGGTCACATAGTACTGCAGGACCTTCCAGGTGATGTCACACTCCACGCGGGGGAGCAGCTGCATTTGGGGGACATGGACAGCAATTCGGCTGTAGGCCAGTATCAAGGCCCTGTGGGTCCTGGCTCTTTTCTCTTGGTGATAGTCCTGCACAGGGTGACACAACACTCACACCAGGGCTTCCCATGCCTTCTGCCCCCAAAATAGGAATCACTGCTGATCAAGGAGTTGCCCAGCAGTGATAACAGCTCTCCCTGCCAGTCAAAGGAGACTCACAGCTCTCACAGCACCATCATCAGTGCTTTGTTTCAGACACAGGCCTCATCATCTCTGTCCTGAAGCCTGGGTGACACAGGCAGAGAGAGCTGCAGTGCCACAGTGAGCCATGGATGTCAGGGCAGGGGCAGGGGCAGGGGAGAGTTTGTGACCAACAGGAACTAGGGCAGCAGATGCATTGTGCCAAGGGCCTAATAGTTTCATAGTTGGTAGGGTCCGAAGGGACCTGAGCAGATCATCAAGTCTGACCCCCTGCCATGGGCAGGAAAGAATGATGGAGTCAAATGACTCTGGGAAGCCTCCTTTTGAAGACCCCAAGGGTAGGAGTGAGCACCACTTCCCTTGGAAGTTAGTTCCAGATCCTAGCCGCCCTGACTGTGAAGTAGTGCTCCTGATGATAAGCACCCCTTGTTTCAGGGGCACCTGGCTAAACCCCTAGGGACAGAGGTACGGCTGGAAGCCATGTCCAGCAGAGATCCCCTGAACTTTTACTATGCATTTTCTACTTCAGGAACAGCTTTGTATGTTTTGAAAAAATATTTTATCTAACCAAGGGCATAGAAT